AGGGATAGTAGAGTCAGATAGTACTATATTTGTTGTAGCATTACTTTCTTCAAAATGACACATTTTATCCCATGTCATAAGAGTAGTCGATCCTATGGCTAACTAAATTGACGTTGAAGCTTCATGAGAAATGTCGTTGAAACCTTGAAAGAGAAACCAACAACTTGCAAAGTGGGCTAACAAAGGAAGGAAAAAATATTATAAAAAGTTTCGTCTGTGAATCCATTTTTAAATGAGAAAAGAATACTCTTAATCAATTTATACGATCCCCTTTGATGTTGAGATATTGAAATTTTTTTATATCATTTACTAACAATACTATTTTATAATAAATTTCTCAACTTTGATACGTTCAAATTTGAGGACTAGATTCAAAGTTTGATATGACGTCTCTATAGCAAATTGATCTCTCAATTATTATTTCAATAGTTTCTTCTACTTATTATTTATATACAACAATTTAAAATATAAATGAGTGGTTTGAAGCAATCTTGACTCGTTGAGAGAGCAAAAGCTTTTAGTCTTTAGAAGGAAATTCAAAACCTTACAATCAATAATCATTTGGAGTAACACATTTGACACCTAGAGTACAAATCAAGATCCAAAAACTTCTTATTCCCTTTAATATTGAATTTTAAAAGGAAATACATTATACCGTACACTTTCTTTAAATGAAATTATATAGTTGATGAGATCATATGGTGTAAAATCAAATTCCCTCCTAGTTTATACATTAAACACCTCCCACGGAATAGTCATAATAAAGTCACCAACTATTTACAAGAAATAAAATTTTCAGTGACAATGTCCAAAAGCAAGTGTCAAGTCGCCATCATAAGTAGCGACCTTCCTTAAATATATTTGTGGCGCATTTATTTACTTTTTGTATCGAGCTTAATCTCCTTAGAAGCTACTATTAGCTTTATGGCAACTAAGCTCGCCATAAAAAGTAAGCAATGCGGCACAAAATATATTTTAGTTAGGCGTCTTTTTGATAGGCGAGCTAGTTTAAATTTATTTGTTACGCAGTCGTTTATCTTTTATGGCGAGCTTAATCGCCACAAGTGCTAATAAGGGCTTAAGCTCGCCACAAAAAGTAAATAAATACAAGTTTAATTCAGGTCGCTACTCAAAATAGCAACATATAGTTCGACGCAGAAACTATATATGACTTATTTGGTGACTTGAACCTTGTCACTGAAAATCTTATTTCCTATATGCTAGCATCTAAACCTTTTCGTTTTCGTATCTCCTAAGCTCTAAATATGGTGGTATACTTATGATATATGTTCTAAACCAAAATGCTTACGAAAGAAAAAAAGGAAAATAGACCGAGAAGATGATAAACTAATTAGTTAAGGTAAAGACAGTTTTACAGATGGGAATGGCAATAAAAGAATGATAAAGATAAAGAAAAACCATGGAGCGGAGCATAGTCCAGCATGGCCAGATTGAACTTTCGAAAGTGTAGACAAAAAAGAAAATATTGTAAATAGGAAGGAAGTTGCTTATTATACTTTATAATGGCCTGTCAATCATTTGTTTTGGCTGAAAGATCAGAGGGTCTCTGACTTTTATTTAATCCTAGTAGATGTTTTTAATTTTAGGACAAAACCTGGAGGAGGAAATTGATATATTTGCTTTTGTCATTTTGCTATTAATTAGTTTACAGCAGTCCCTCCCTCTGAGAAAAATTTATTTACGTATAGGCGTTTTTGGGATATTTACTTTAGTGAAATAATATTCACTGAATATCAAGAAAATAGCTGAGTTTTTGGGATGTCCTTTTTCAAAAGAGGAAGAAGAAAAGGGAATGATTGAAGAAATAATAAGGCATTGTAGCTTTGAATATCTCAAGAACGTGGAAGTTAACAAGAATCCAGGTGGAGAATTCATGATTGTGAAATATATATAGTTCCTCTTTTAGGAAAGGAGAAGTGGGAGATTATTGGGCTAATTATCTGTCTACTTCTGTGGCTAATAGTTTTGATAAATTCTTGATATTTTAGATTTATACTTCAAGCCAAGATGACCATAATTATCAAATGACACTACGATTCTACGAATAACTTAGCTATATGCGTCATTCTAGGCATGTCTTTCACATTTTTTTTCTTTGCATAGTTTGTGAAAACAAAAGTAACGTTCTAAAATTCTATTCAAGAATGTATTACTATTATGTTTTGCTTAGACATGTACACATAATTCCTGATCATCATTGTTCTCTGTCCAATGCTTATATATAGAATTCCCCAACTCAAAATGTTTGTCCAACAAAGCTAAGTGAGTTGAGAATCATGAAGTCTTATGTTCAAATTTTAATGGAGTTAAACAAAATTATAAGTGTTTTCTTCTCATTTGTTCAAATATTAATGGACAAAGCTACTTGGTACTTCTATTGGTGAAAGATAGTCACAGATATATGTAAAATTAGTCAAGATGCGTGCAAGTTGAACCGAATATGATAGTTACAAATAATATTATAATAATAAAAATAGAAGATGTACAAAGCACAGCCCCACACACACTCTCTCTTTACCTCTTCTCTGAAATGATGCAATTTCTTGTAGTATTGGGTGTACCGTGTACATGCATGTTGTCATTTGCCAAATGAACGTTAAGGAGACTAGCTAGGAGACACTAGTAAGCAGCAAAGCACACTAGTACAAATAAAAATGTCGAATCAAGTGTCAATCTCACGACTATTCACAAGCAAATATTACAATGCTTGTTATATTTATTTTTTTCAGATGGCCACTGAAGTTGATGAAGTAGAAGAAGCGTTGGGTTTTTGTTACTGATAACAAAAGAGGCGTGAATGGAAAATGATGGGAAAAGAAAAGGAGGGAAGTGAAATTTTGAATTAGTTACTTTACTAATGGACTTTGTCCCTCATTGGTAGAAGGAAATAAAATCTTTGTGCATATATAGAGAAGCTCATCTTTTAACTCTTAAAGAGTTAAGAAGAAGGCAAGCCTCGTGCTGTCATCGTCGCTCGCTCGGCTTCGGCTTTGATCAAAGGTTGATTGATTAATCTTTTAGATAAAATTCTTTTCAATTAATTAATTAATTAATTAAATTAATTAACGAAAATTCAATCCGGAATAATCCATGACCCGCGACCCGGTCTGGTCCGGTCCGTTTTCTTTCCCGACGCAATTTTTTCCCACCTGTTCCAACAGCTATGGTTGTTCTGAAAGGTTGCAAACCTTTACAGAAACAGTGCCAAATTGGCTATAAATATTCCTTCAATCCCAGAATTTTTACTTACAAAATTTTCTGATTATCTTCTTCATCTTCTGCATAATATTTTCCAGTGTGTTTTACGACCATTGAGTGGTTCGTCGATCACCAGAGTTTTTGGTACCAATACACTAGTGAGTTAAATCGCTCTATCCTGTGAGGATATATTCCAGAACCTTGGGTACTTGAGGGGAATAATTTCCTTAAGGACACACTGTGTATTCGGTGGGCTCGATTTATTCCTATACTGTTTTCAGGATTTATTTTGACGTTCTAGTTCTACTAACTTTCTGTTTCTGTTTTTTCATAAAGTTTATTGTTTTATTGATTTTACAACAATACAGTTTGGTTAACAATCTTAAGGAACTTATTATATTATATTCTTTATTCTGTTTGTGGAGATTAAAATCTGTGTGGTTTTCTACTCCTTCTGAATCTTACTATTCTGATTTGAAGATATAAAAACTTCATCAGAGTATTGAAATTCAGAAATGATTTGAAGAACATAAAAACTTCATCGTTTTCTGTGAAACAGTATATAAAAACTTCGGTTTTTATTTATCATACGTACTGTTTATTGAGTACGGTATTGTTTACTGTTCTGATTTTTCCATTAATTAAACTCTTCTGTTGTTGACAGTGAGAAATGACAATTGATAATGAAAATCCTTCTGCGACTGTTGCTGCAACGACGGTAGCCTCGTCAAGCCACACTGTTGTTCCTCCTGCCGAGAAAAAATTTTCTGGAGCCAACTTCAAAGGATGGTAGCAAAGGGTATTCTTCTGGCTTACCACACTTGGTATGCAGAAATTCACAAGTGAAGAGCCTCCAGTGCCTGTTGCGGACATGCCGGACAATGAGAAGTTCATGATTGTTGAGGCGTGGAAGCAGACAGATTTTCTTTGTAAAGGTTATATCTTAAGCGCTTTAGAGGATGACTTGTACAATGTGTACAACGCGATGAATACTTCGAAAGAATTATGGGACGCACTTGAGAAGAAGTACAAGACGGAAGATACATGCTTGAAGAAATTCGTG